ATCACAATAAATATCGTACCATGACATGTATATTGTGAAAATATCGTACCGAGAGATTTGGATATTGTTACATCCATAATCGTGAGCCTCCCCATCATATTGTGAGCTTTCCCACAATATCGCAATAAATATCGTACCGTGAGGTTCATACTATGACGATATTGTATAGTGAGACTTGAATATCGTTACACCCCTACAAATGATGAAACACTACAACAATTTAAAGATCCCATATTATGCTTTTTTTGATTTATGTTGTAACGTGGAGTTGTGTTTTGTTTCTTTCACACATGCTTACCACACAAATACTGCATATTTAGCCTTTCTAGGAGTTCTTATCTCAAACAGAAAACACAGGTAACCACCTTGTGATGTCATGTAGCGATACACAAAGTGCTCCAGTGTGTTTTTATACACCTTCACTAGAATCATTTGGATAATTTCAGCCTTGGAATTGGTCATTTCTACTGAATAAAATGTAAAATGTAGCTGTTAACTTGAAAACTACCACTACATGACATCACAACGAGGAACAGAGCATTTTGAGCTTTGGAGATGTAGACAGACTATAGAAACGAATGCATAATCTTACTCAAACGTGTGAATGAAACAAAACACAACTCCAGGTATGTTTTTGAGGAGGTAACAACAGTATAACATGATTTAACACTAGAAGAGTCAATTTTATGTGATATACAGTAGGACCTTTAAATTTCATAGCAGTAAATCCATAAGAACACTTGATGAACAGATATCAAAAGATTGCACATTTTTAAAAATATTCCTCCACAGAACATTTTGTCCCTGAGCCAAAATGATATTCTGCCAACTGCAACAAAATGTCTCTGAGCTCTGAGCCAATACAGTAAATGCACTGCACCCCTATAGTTCAGTATTAAATCAGGTGGGGCCAATACTACTATCCCTGACATTTACTGCTGATTTTCTGTTCAAAATGCAGACGCACAACGCACAAAGCACACCGCACACCGCACAGCACTCTGGGAGGTCATAGTGAGTCATTGTGATCGGGTTTACAAATACCACCCACTCAGTTAAACCGCAGCAGAATGAGAGAAACAGCTTCTGCTAACGGCACAACTACCAGCTAAAAAACTGAAAACATAATAGACGTACGGCAAGAAATGTGTTCTTATGACTCAGCACCTTTGTGTCATATTTTTCCCATGTATGTCAGATTTTGAGATTATGAGGTAAAAATAAGTCCACTGTGCCCATCTGCATCTACTTCTATATTGTTCTAGGATCAATAAATGCACTATTAGCATGCTAGTTGTTGTTAATATTACATTAACAATGAAACTATGATGTATAAAAGTTGTTAAAAGCACTTATAAACTCATCTTGGTGAATAATTCGGATGGTCTGAACGCAGGTAAAAAATCAGATACAGCGCTTTTAATCATGAATTCTGACATGGAAAATTAAATGAACCAAATGTGATGACAAATTGCTGATAATATATTAAAACTGCTAATAGCTTGGTCAATATTTAGATTTGGGCTCACTGTTATCGTCCCAATTTCCGTTCCTGGCAGAGGCTTTCGAAAATTAATAAATGGTTAAAGATCACAATTTGATATCGCAATTGGGGTGCATTAAATTGGACCTTTTCTGCTAAATGGACTTTTCAGAGCTTTTAACCGTGTCATAGCTGTTGGATTTGGAGTGATTTGTGAATGTTTGAGTAATCCTTAGTCGCTTTTTTAAGACCCCTTACTCCCGACCAACCCCCCGTGTGTTTGCTAATGTGCGCATTGTGTCTCCATGGTAATTGAATCCACACTGAAGCCACAGACATATAGGCAGAACACCCCCAATGTGATTACACAGCAAACTATCAACAGTCAAGAGTGTTGTGATGTTTTAAAGACATGCTGCTTTTTTTTAAGTGCATCACATGAAAAGTAAACATTATTATATCATTAATCTCTTAATTATCTTCCTACTTTCCCATTTTCCTTTCCTTTCCGAAATCCAGATTTATTAAAAAATCATCCACTTGTCCTCCAATTCCAAAGGTGTTAAAATGCTGGAAAAGCAATTTAATTTTTAATCTTTTTTATTTCTAGATGTGAATTTTGGTTATTATGTGTGACCTTTGACAACCCTCCCCCTTCCCTGGCATTACCTCTATCTCCCCGTGTTCTGTTTAATTGTTTGTTACTCTTTGTATAGTTTGTATTGATTTATCTTTGTGTAATGTCTTGTATATAATAATAATAAAAAAAGGAAAAAAAAAGAATGTTTTGATATCACGCGACCTATATCTGTAGTTTAAGGAGCATATTAGTGAAAGTTAAATTGAAATCAGGTAAGATTTAAGATTTAAAACTATGCGACATACAAAAATCATCGCAAAAAGAACAAAAGTGTGGCTGTTTGCTGCAGGTTTTCCTATCAGTGGGAGCAGGTAGAGGGTGCTCTTGGAAAAAAGGATCAAAACTAAAACACAACAGGACTCCAGGCACTCCAAAGAAGTAAAAAAAAGTAAAAAATCGCACAAGGAAAAATATAGTTAAAAGACCTTTATTTAAATGGCCAAAGCCAACATGTTTTGACCTTAACTGGTCTTCATCAGGGCTTAGTTATACAAAAATCGTCATTGGCGTCTTCTTAAACACCACCACTGCAACTGTTTTTTTTGTCATTTTGCAAATAAAATGGTCCATCACCTGCTAGTTTCTGTGGATATGTCATTGCTTTGCCTGGAATGTTCCACAGTATGACATTAAACAGCTCTACCTTACATTTATTCAATTACAAGTGGTTTTGACCAGAAAAACAGGCATTGTGACTGTGAGCGGGGTTGTCTTTCCACAGATCTGACCTGTAACTTGGTCTGGTTTGGTCTCCATGAAGATAGAAACATTTAGGAGAAAAGCATTTGACGAACCTGCCACCGACAAAGTTACACAGCGCACCTTTAACCTTACAGTACTCTCTCGTTAATGGAATAACAGTAAAGCTCTCGTCATAAATGCTACCGTAATGATTTATGATTCGTGACTTAGGCTCCAATGGAGGATGTGGTCAGAGCATCAGTCTGACCCTCTGTGTTCAGACTGCGTCATAACTAATAACATGACAGCTATTGATAACTCTATTAATAACACACAGGTGATGTACGGCCAAGAGGACAAGGCCAGTGTCTGCGTGCTTGTTTTATTTTATCAGTGAATAGATACTGTAAAGTGTTGAATCTATGGACAAGAAAAGCTCTGGACTGTGCTGTAGCTTCTTATTTGTACAAGAAAAAACTGAATATTGAACTAAAATGGAGTTGCTTGATAGAAAGAGTAAAAAGTTGTAAAGACAGCATAGATAAAACTAGTGTTGTCACGATTTCGATACCACACTGATAGTTAAAAACACTCTTTCTTTAGACAATAGAATGCGATTTTCAACATCAAATCGTAGTACTTTCTTGAATATTCCCATGTGGACACATATCTTTCTATCCTGTGACTTTTAAAAATATCAATACCTGCTCAAATGAGTATCTAGTTTCGATATTATTTGTAGTATCGAATAGTGGTTGATTTTCTATACTTTTGTAGGGCTATAAGTAGGGATGTAACAATATCCAAATCTCACTGTACGATATTATCACAATATGCTTCTCACAGAACAATATTTATTTCGATATTTTGAAGAGGCTGATATAATTGTAGATGGAACAGTTTTTTGCTTTTAAAATACCTTGACAAGATTTTGTTGTGAATTATTTCCGTCATAATCCCAAGAATTCAAATAAAAAACATATCTCTTCATGTTATCTGTCTTGAAATGAATCATGGGATATGTAGTTCCCGATGTTTATAAGCTGTTGCTACTATAAAACCATGCACTTAAGCAAAGGCACTTGTAATTTGATATATTGTGACAGTCCACGATATTATTGTGAGACTTTTGACGATACGATATTGTTGCATCCCTAGTTATAAGATGAGAATAGACAATATGATGCAACTTCTGTATCCCTCCTCCTGATGCAGTGACCCAGAACACCTCAACCTAAATTTGGGTAAAACTCCTCCCTCAGCATCTTTGACTTTGCTGAATAAATACAAGGCAAACCATCGCATACAGATCTGTCTAATCTAAAATACTCAACATCTAACTTGAGCTGTCTCGTTATCTGATGCAATATTGGCTCAACATTAGACCTATACTATTCTTTTCTTCAAATCTTACAGGTCCATATTATGCTATTTTCTAATCTATTATATGTTCTAATGCTGTTTCCTCATCACAAACAGACCTGGAGTTGTGTTTTGTTTCATTCATTTAACACACAAAAGCTGCATATTTAGGCTGAATTCTTCTTTTAAACTGAAAACACTCTGCACCATATATTCCTTATAATATTTTTGATGATTTCAGTTCTGGAATTGTCTCTACGGAACAAAACTTGTAAAGTAGGCTAGCTGTTAACTTGAGAACTAGTGCAACTACATGACATCACAAGGTGGAGAGGAGCGTTTTGTGCTTCGGAGATGTAAACAAACGAATAATAAAGGATTAGTTAAACATGCGAATGAAACAAAACACAACTCCAGCTATGTTTTTGAGGAGTAACAACAATCTAAAGCTCAAAAGAGTCCATTTTGTGTTATATCGGGCCTTTAAACCATATCTTGAGATCAAAAGTCAGTCTCAAACTACACCGTATTTAAGGGAACCAAATCGCAAATTATGATAAATACAAAGCAAAATAGTACAAAAGTTAAAAGTGAGAACTCATCCCACACACTACAAGATCATATTAAGGACTTACTGCATTATAAATAACTGTATATTTAAAGTAAAGGAGCAAAGAGCTGTAGTCTATGCATTTTTAAGCAAATTAAAAGTCAAATCTGCATCTATTCAAACACAAATTGCCCTTTAATGCTTATAACAATCTTGCATCAGACTTATATTATAATTCTAAACGTGTAGATTTGTATGTTGTTAATAATGCATCGCTCACTGACCTCTCCTTCCATGTTCACAGTTGAGTCGTGACGATTTCCTAAAGAAAAGTGATCCTCAGGTGGTGCTTCAGTTCACTTCAGTCCAGAGCAGTGCCCGCCCAGTCGCGTTGGAAGCTGAGAAAAAAAACAAACGCACCGTTTTACAGCAGCTGTCCATGGTCCTTGCCGGCACGACCTCGCTTTTCTCCTAAACTAACGGACTATTCGTAATCAAAATCGGTTGAACAAGTCGTGCCAAAATAAGGAATTGCACAGAGGAGGGACTGTATTGCGTTGCCCTTGTTATATTTAAAATTTGAACGAAACTAACCCAACCCTACCTTTGCGCAAGCCCAAATAAACGTCCTTAAATAACCCAAATGTTGAAAAGCGCCTTACCTGTCGTGCCACAGCAGATGCAGAAACACAACACCGCGCCTCCTAGGGTTTGGCGTCTCCCGGTTTGAGATGCGAGACAGTTTGGCGCACGTAACGCACGCAGCGGCAGTGGCGGTGGCGTCTTGATTATTTATTTTACGTCGTTTCCATCCAGAGTTAGAGGAGGAGAGGAGGATGCTCGGACGCCCCGCCTCTATCGGGATTTTTTTTATTTTTTTTTTAGTGTGTTAGTCGGTCGAAGGGTTTGTACGCATGCGCAAAAGAAAGTCATGCGCTCCGGCGACGCAAGCGTGTGACCTTCAAAGAGAGATGCTGAGTGAGGTTGATGATGGCGCATAAAACGTGTTGTACAGACTAAGATGTGATGTTTTGTGGTTAATAAATGAATAAATACATAGGGAAAAACTAACTATAATGCAGCGTGTTTAACAAAGGGCCTATCCTGATGGCACGCACTGGCTTCCATTGTGATGCTGGAGAATGACACATCGCCAGTCAGCTGATGGTGCGTCATGGAGATGAGCCTAAAACGTATTCTGCTCTTATATAACATATTTTATTCACTTTTAGGAAGCGTGCCCCTCTCAGCAGAATTCCAGATCAGAGTTTTGATGGCCTCTGCAGTTTAAATTAGTTTTAAAAGCCTTATATTATCCAAAATTGACTCTTGTGAGCTTTAAGTCATGTTGCTACCTCCTCAAAAACAAACCTGGAGCTGTGTTTTGTTTCAATCACAAGTTTTATGATTAGTCTATCTACATCTCTAAAGCGCAAAATGTTCTGTTCCTAACTACCTTGTGATGTTATGAAGCAGTAGTTCAAGTTAACAGCTCACTTTTTTTAGCTTTATTTCATTAGAGAGTTATACTGATGATGGTTTTAACGAAGGTGTATGGAGTTTGAAAACACAGGAGGGCACTTCCTCTACTACCACCTGATATCACAAGATGTTTACTGTTTGAGAACACAACTCAGCCTGCAGTGTTTGCGTGTTAAACAAGTGTGAATGAAAGAACAAAACACAACAAAACACAACACTCATCATGTTTTTGGTGAGGTAACAACATTATAACAAAGAGTCTTTAAGTAGACACAAATCTGTTCTGCATTGTTTAGTCAAATATTAGAACTGATTTAGACTTATTTCTACCTGATAAAGTGTGGGTTTAGATCTGGTATTGTGTGAGAACATGGTGTTATCGTGGTAACAGTACAGTAGTCTTTCGGTTAGTTTTGACCTGGTTTAGAACAGATTTAGTACTGTTATCTTGTTGATCTAGACTAGTTTAGACCTCGCTTAGACCTATTTAAAGGGAAAAATGATTCTATACTATACTTGTCTTAATACCAGGTGAGGATTTTGTAGTCCTGTTTCAACCTAATTTATTGTCTGTGTCTATTCTTGTCTGTTCCCACATTAGTCTCTTATACTTAATACAAGTTTAGTTCAACTGTGATTTCAGTGATTTAAAGACATTTCTTAGTGTTAACTTTGAGAATGACTCAACTAGACAACCTCCCCAATTTTTTGTGGTAAAAATAATCCAATGCGTAAATCAAAGACAAAAGAACAAAGAATAAGAATGGAAGAATGACTCATTGCACATAATCATCATATTTAATAGGTTAGTTTTCACATTTTTGTGTTAGTGGAAGCAGAGTAAGTTCAAGACCAGTATTTACTTCAATGGTTTAAAAATGTGCTTTGCCATACAAATGTTTGAAATTTAACTGACAGTCCATTTTCCAAAGATTTCTTCGGTCTAGCACGAGTCTGTAAGTTGATCATTTACAGTAAGTATACAGTAGGAGACAATAATAATAAATATGTTATAACACTGATTAGATTTTTCCAGCAAAGTTTCCATTGTCCACTTGTTCATCCCATTTATTGACCTGCAGTGAGAGAGAGAGGAGGTTAAAATTAAGGATTTGGTTTACTGCTATTTTAGAGGAATGGTGAGTAATCAAAAGAATAAATCAATAATAAATAAAATGTCTTGAGTGGATGAGGCATATTGATGAGCCACTAGTGGGGGCAAGATAAGCATAACCTAGCAGTGTTGTAGTGTAGAGTTTAACAGCAAACTTTGTGCATTTCTCATGAAATCAAAACAAACAACTGATGTCATTTTAACAGTGCCCAGTAGAAAGACAGAATACTAACTAGAATAATCAGATAACACAATAATTTGGTTTTATTTTTGGTGTATTTACATGCCCAATATAAATCTGATCATCAGAACAAACCTGCACAGGAGTGAACAATCAGAAAGGAATCAGATTACTCAGTGGTGTGCCAGTGACAATACTGTTTTTGTGTCCTTAGGCAAGACACTTTCCCACATTGCTTAGTATGAAAGTAGTGTGTGTGAGAGTGATGGTGGTAGATGGTGCATATTGGCAGCTGCACTTCTGACAGAAGTGTGGAGTGAATGCATAATACACAAAATTGAGAAGTGACTTTGAGCATCTGGAAAAACACTCCTACATAAAGATTGATGCATTATTATGGTTCATTGTTAGTGCCAAAAAATACAGTTTCTTGGGCATAAGTATTTCTCTACCTATCATTATTATTATAATTAATCACATCAGATGTAATTGTTTACATGAGATTTCTATAGTCAGATAATGATCAGATTTTTGGTGTGCATTTTTATCAAAATTCTGTAATATTATAATTCTGTAACATTGCTTTACAAAGCAGAGTAAAATAAGTATAAGTATAAGTTGTTTTGATTTAGTATAAAAGTGTGAGAGTGACTGACCCAGCTGCTGGGGCAGATGCTCTTGTAGACCTTCTGGTACCACTCACACGGAGCAGTGTCCTGGTCTTTGGCTGAGAGGGCCTTGGTACATCTGTGGAAGTCTGCATCAACAATAACACAACACATAAACTTGACTCTTAAAACCCTTACATTTTAAAAACATAAAGCCACATGGTAATAAAACAGACATAACATTTTAGACTTGTGTGTGAAAAGTGCTAAGATAAAAGTTGCTTGATAATGCTTGATATTATGTCATGAAGTAACAAACTAAAATATAGTGTAGTACTATAGTAATATAGTTTCATTTGAATTCAGTTCAGTTTCAGCTCAACATTACTTAAGTGACGGTCAGTGGCCTGACTCAGTGCTGTCTTTTACCAAGGTAGTTTTGGAAGCAGTTGCGCGTCTGGTTGGTGTTGGGGAAGCGGGCGTCGAATGGAGCCGTGCTGTAGGATTTGATCTTTTCTTCAAAGTTGTCAGACATTTTGAGGTTTATGGGACTAACTATATCTGCAAAAGAGAAAGGAGATGATACATGTGAAAAAGAAATAAAGAAGAAATGATGCACTAATCAGAAGAGAAACAGGATTGTGACTGTTGACAGGGCGGCAACACGTTCCAAGTATGGATACAGATACTATAATGTATGAAGATACTACAGATACTATAATGTATGAAGATACTACAGATACTATAATGCAGGGGTGTCAAACTCATTTTGGTCTGGGAGCCGTATCCAACCTACTTTGATCCCAAAGGGGCTGGATCAAAAAACTCATGACATATAAACCCCAAAAATAACAATAAGTTCAAATATTTGTGTAGAGAAACACAAATCTATTACATTAATTGATGAATTCTTTCTTTTACAAAATATTATAATATTATGAACAACCTAAAACTTTAAGAAAAATGTAATTTCAACACAATGTTTTAACATGAACTTGTATGAAAATACAGTCCCTAACAAAAGTCTTGTCGCTTATCCATTTTGTAGAAACAAAAGCTTATAACCTGACTTTAAATTAATCGATTGGTTTTAGAAATGTCTCATATGAAAGTTAAACATTTGCAGGGTGGAAGGCAATATCAATAGCCTAAAATATCAAGAAGTATTAGCTCCTCTTACATTCCCAACCATAAAAGGGGTCAAATTTTGCAGCAGGATGGTGCTCCATCGCATACTTCTATCTCTACATCAAAGTTTCTCAAGGTGAAGAAGATGAAGGTGCTCCAGGACTGGCCAGCCCAGTCACCAGACATGAACATCATTGAGCATGTCTGGGGTAGAATGAAAGAGGAAGCATGGAAGGCAAAACCAAAGAATCTTGATGAACTCTGGGAGGCATGTAAGATGCTTTCTTTGCTATTCCTGACTTTCAAAATTAATTGTATGAATCATTGTCGAACCGCATGGATGCAGTCCTTCAAGCTCATGGAAGTCATACAAGATATTAAATATGGATCTCACAGCACCACTACTTAATTCACTGACGTTATGCAACATATTTTTGTATTTGAAGTAAATGATTTGTTCAATTTTCTGTAGGCGACAAAACTTTTGTCTTGCTAAAATCTGACCTTTCTGTGTTCATTAAATGATCAATCTTTCTTCAGTGAAGCAAATTTATTTTATTATATTGAGCATAATTTGGGAGGGTTTTAGCTTTCATATGAGACATTTCTAAAACCAATCGATTAATTTAAAGTCAGGTTATAAGCTTTTGTTTCTACAAAATGGAAAAGCGACAAGACTTTTGTCAGGGACTGTAGGTATAAGTGAATTTTTGTTGGAAAGTCCTGCACTCAGCTCCACTTTTCTCATGTTGGACATTTTTCTGATGAGGGTGTCACGGTCAACAGTCAAAACGATCGTCCTTTAAGAGCATTTGGAAAGAGACAAGTCTTCGTTTGTGCTGCTCTGGTGGGAGGGGCCACGTACAGAGACGCTGGAGACGCTGCTCTGATAAACACCACAGAAAATTAACAATATTTTAATAGAAAATATAATGAAAATATTTTAGTAGAAAATCAGCAGAGGGCCACATTAAAGGTCTTCATCATAGCACAGGTTTGACACCTGTGCTATGATGTATGAAGTATGAAACACTGAAACTGAAAAACAGACCAAAATAAAAACATGTTTTTCATTGCAGTTGTGTTTATTGCACTATAAGGGCCCTACAGGAGTAGGGCTGGGTATCAATTCGATACAGTGTACTTTCGATTCAGTACAATTCGATATGATATATTTCAAATCAATTCGATACAGTTCAGTGAAAAAAGGTTAAGTCATGGCTGTGTGAAAAATAATATTATTGTACTCATTTCATACTCTCAGAAACTCTCTGCTAGACACTTATAACCTCTCACATACTTTTTGCCTGTATGTCACCCTCATGCTGTGAATTCATGCTGTAACATTAAAGGCCCTGTAGAACGATCTCTGTGAGCTTTTTTTTTGCAATATACAACAGAAATCAACAGCTCTAAGTCCACTAAGTTTGTGCAAAGTTAATAAGAAAAACACCCATTTTACTCAAAACAGTTAAAATGTCAACACATGACATGTCAACACAAGAATTCTTACATAAAATAATTTAGTAAATTATTCATATTTCAATATTTCTGTACATCCCTATAGAGGAGGGACTTCTCCTGCTTGTTTCTTCAGCTATAATCTTCAACAATATAACATAAAACTTCTATCCCTATAGAAAATGTTCCAAAGTAAGTTATAGTTTCAACTTTCTTTTTCCAGGGAATCATGCAGGTGACTAGCCACCTCCAGAAAGTTATGTACTGTAATTTTAATGCATTTTAAGCGAGGGTGACCAGATTTTCAAAATAAACTGGGACATCCCTGGTTTGGGTTATTTTGGTAATGATACAATTGTGAAACGAGTGTGTGATTAAGGAAAATTGTTCTGCACTTGACACTAATGTGAGTCAGTATAGTCACATTTTCTTTGTGTTTTGGCCATTTTTAAGCGGCTTTTCTGTATTTTACCTCAATAAACTCTCTTTACTGTTGGCAGGGATCAGATTGGTCAAAAATAGGGACACCTGGGAAATTTCTTGTATAAAACTGGGAAAATCAGTGGTTTTGTCGATAAATCTGCTGGGACAGGGGACACAGGGTTCAACTGGGACTGTCCTGGGAAAATGTCATTTCCCTGGACAATTCATGTCAGAAGGATGTTCAGTATAAATAATAGAGACAGGATGTAAGAAAATTATATATATATATATATATATATATATATATATATATATATATATATATATATATATATATATATATATATATCTCATAACCTCTGCTGTATATATATATATATATATATATATATATATATATATATATATATATATATATATATATATATATATACACACACACACACTACAGTTATTATTTTTATGTTATTAATATTATTAGGCTAGCAGTAAAACGTAAAGGGTGACAGATGAAAGCGTGTCTTTTTCACTGTAAAATTATATATAGCACTTAGCTAACGTTAATCTGTCACAGTTCAAGTTAATTGTACGTGATTAATAGTTTAAAACAAAACTTAAAACGGTAAAGAAACAATAAATTGACACTTACAGTATTGCATAAAATACTAAATGTCTATAAGGATTAAGCTGAAGCAGAAAATAACATAAATTGGTGCTCACCGTCTGAACGGGACAGTTTAATCTCAGGAGCATCAGTTGCGTTTATCCCCGCGATGCAACATGGGAAATGTAGTGCAGAGGATTAAATTCGCTGGATAATGGACAGGAAAGGACTGACCTCTGCTGGACAAAATGGAGACGTGCAACCAATATTTTATAAGACAAAGAGAAGCACTATTTAATAACAAAAATACGTATTATCAACTGCGTACTGTTATTCTCGTTGTTTTGAATTATGCCATCCATATCTGACTACTTACCTTTGAATGATTGATTATGTTTAAAATCAAACATATTTTAAATGTGAGATAAAAATAATTTAGGCATTCCTCATGTCTTTATTATATTATTAGATAATAACTTTTTGGCATTTGCTCTACAGCATCCTCTGGTGTAATATTGCACTCACTACTATAGTAAAAATTCTTCTTTAGTTGTGAATAATCAGAATAATAACACAAAATTTTATACTATTATATTACTATTATATTTTCCGACCTTAATCTGAAAATGTACATTTAAACAAAAATATGTGTTCATTTCTTAGTAATACAAGAAAGTGTAGTGGACAAGAAGGCCAAACCTCCTTGTCAAAGGCTGATCTTGTCAGATTTCAGAAGCTAAGCAAGGCTGGGCCTGGTTAGTACTTGGATGGGGGACCAGTGGGGAAATCAGGTGCAACAGTTGGGGTGTCATTGTGTCCTTAGGCTAGACCGTGCACCCACAATGCCTAGTATGAAAGTGGGGTGAGTGCGAGTGTTGGTGGTTGGATTAACCAATGGTTAATGAATGAATAATGTGCTAATGTGCAAAGCAACTGACTGTGTGGGAAAGTGCTATACAAGACCAATGCTTTATTCTAAAGTGATTTTTAAATAAAGACATACCTACTGTGTGTAACTTCCTTCACTCTTTTATTTTCATCATTGCACTAAAACCTCAAGGTGACTGCTGCAATGCTACGTCAAATCTAGCATAAAGACTTCACAAAAACCAGCCCACCATTTTCACCCAGCGGACCGTCTCCCATGGCAACAGCTCAATATAAAGAAATGTTATGAACAGAAAAACCAGAGAGGCAGAGGGAATATATTTATAAAGGATAGTGCTAATCCTCTATGTGTGTGTCTGCTGAAGATAGGTTTGAAAGAGAAAGGAGAGAGAGACTGAAAGAGACAGAGAGGGCGGAGAGAGGACAGAGAGAGATACAGAGAGAGCACAGAAAGAGGGAGAGTGAGAAGGAAAGGTCGAAAGTGAGAAAGAGAAAGAGAGAGACAGAGAGAGGGAGAAAGGAGAGGGGTGGGGGAAAAATAGAGAGAAAGAGAGTGAGAGACAAAAAGAGAGAGCTAGAGATAGTGGCTCCAAAGTTCATGAAATGTTTGACTTCTTTTATTCAAAACTGACATATGAAGGACATTGACCATATTAAAGTGTATATATCCGCTTTCAAGTTTTATACATTTATATTTGGCTGGAGAAACTGTAACTGTAACATTATTTACAGCCAAAGACACAGTAGGACGAAAACTATGCAACTGTTAATGTGCGCAAAAGGCAACAAATAAGCAAGTATCTTACATTGAGTGCATTACATTTATACTTCATTCAGCTAAGCAGAGGTTACAAAAAAAATGAAAAATGGTCATCTTAAAAACATGTCAGCTTCATTCCTACAATATAGAAACATAGAAATGCATTTGGCCCACTAGCAGCAGAGGAAAACTCCTCTTGGCATTACAGTCAATGAAACAGAAGAATCATCGACATCGCAGGCCCTGTTCAGACCTGAACGCTGAGTGACTTTCTCAGAGGGAAGGCCTACAAAAAACAAAACAAAGCTCGCACCTAGCAGTAAAAATAAGTGTTACTGTCAGGACTGAACAGGGCCGAAAAACAACAGAATCAGTGCTAAAACCTCCACTCCCAGAGTGGTTATGGTACAACGTATAAAGTGGGTCACAAAAGTGCTATGGTCATCATTTACATATTGACATGTGCAAAAGTAGTTCATGATTTCAAAAAAATGCTATTTACATCCGGTATAAACTTTTGCCTTATATAATTGAAAATGCATAAAGTACAAAGCAGCATGGAGTGAGCTTAACCCCAGGCCCAGAGTCTCAGACAGGAATAGCAGGATCAGGTGCACCCAGGAAAATCCTACCTAAACCCTGTTAGCTTAGCATTAGCATTAGCTTGGTGACACGTTGAGTTTGGAATTGGTCAGGTGCCTCATGCTCTCTGCTCTCTTATGTAACAGTCTTTCAGAGAAATATCCAGTCACAGCTCTGCATCAACAAAACCAGGAACATCTCTTTATCCCACATCAGAGTCCATGTCATATGAAGAATATGTACATTGAATACATATGGTAGAGGACTTGAGCATTTTTAAACATGTGCATCTCTGCCTCCTTCTCACTTAAAACCTCCATTAAAATGGCAGTGCCCCCTCCACACAGATTGTAGCAGATAGGTGTCTTACAAAGACTACTTTTCAGTGTTATTGTAAACTTGCAAAAACAGGTTTAGATTTCAGATTTCTCTGGAGTCATCCTCTGTTGATCCAGGTAGCAACAGAGTTTTATAGATCCACCGAAAATGTCTCAACCAGCAGGTCTCTATAAACAGTAATCCAGTGCACTTAAGCGCCTCATTTTCTCCTTGACCTCATGTTGTAATGTTGATGTTAAACATTGGCTTCTGGACTGGGCACAGCTCAGAGCTGCAGAGTCATTGGCCATGTCCTGATGGGCGTAAATCCTCTTAAACTGCAGCACACTCCTGTCCTCCTGCAGGAGCAGGGAGCCAACATGTGAGGGGTGGGAACTACATGAAACTCCACAGTTCAAACTCAATCACACTGAGCCCTGAGGGCTGGGCAGGCTTCTGTAATGATATAATCTTATATGGCCCATGCTCCACAGTAACCCCCTCAGCGGGGCTCAGTGACAGAGTTCATGTTGGAGCTCGGCCAGTCCTCCGTGAAGCTCCACCTCCCCCTGGGTCCAGGACAGGACGTCCCCTTCCAGGTGCCCATTGCAGGTCGCCTGGCTCTGGATCTCTGCAGGGGTCAGGACTCTGGACCAGAGCTGCAGGTCTGACATTTGTCCCATAAAAGACTGAGTGACGTCGAAACGGCCCCCAACATCGTCCTGTGGAGAAGAGAAGGTCATCAGGAAACACAGGTCACTGATGAGTAGGTGTGTTCACAGCAGTTTGACAGACACTATGTAATGTGTAATATGTACTAGTATATGGGCTGCACACAGAGTATCAATAGTGCATGTATGACAGGGTCCATACCTGTTCCTGTCCCAGGATGAAGACCCCTCCTGCTCTCACAGCCTGCCAGGGCGACAGGTCCCGGCCCGAGCCCCTCTTCTGCCCATCCTGGAACACCTCCCAGACTCCGTCACGTGTGGCCCAGGTCACACACACGTGATGCCATTTACGGTCAGACAGAGACAGGGGCAGAGTCACCGCCTGAACATATAGAGCACATGAGAACATGTTACTTAAAGTATTCACCCAGAGCAACATCCTCTGTCCAGGAAACAGCAACACAATGACCCTTTAATTGTTTAATCAGTCCATCCGGAAGCTAGTGTCCTAGGAAACAAAGGTGACACTTGGATCCTGTTCTGAAGACACGTCCACACTTCATTAGAGCAATCCACTAAGACAATTAGATTAAGCTGTGTTTGTTTGTAGAGGTCTGAAGAACCCGACCGACACACGCCCTTTGTTATTAGAGGAGACATTTGATCAGCCTTTCCAAGAATCTGAAAGAATGAGCTGAGTGGAATACTTTGATTATTAAGTTCACCAATATAATTCATAGATTCACTGGACTTCATCAATGACGAGGTCTCTTTGGGATGTCCCTGTCATCCTACCTGTCTTCTGTACAGAAATGACATGTTGGTGATGCTGGCCTTTTACATTAGATAGAGATCTATTTATGGCTCTATTAATGGCTGTCTTAGAAATATGTTAAGTTCAAATAAAAATCAGACTCCTCACCTTGTCGTCGATTAGCAGCTGCATTGGGTTGCTGCCCCACTCGATCAGCACAAGTTCGTTGGTTTGTCCCGGGACGGCATAGGAGAAGGGGGTCCCAAGGCCAGGACCTGCCCCTGGCTTGATCCACAGACACACAGTCAGAGAAAAGAGTTCCTCGGCCACAGAACGCTTCATTCGTCCATACATGTAGTTAGATTTGAGAGGGAAATCCAGCAAGAAAGCACTGGGACTATGCAGCTTTGGGAGAGGTTTTCCTGAAACAAACATGGGGGAGACAGTATGAGATCACAGACCTTCATCAGACATGTTCCTACAAGATGTAAGATGTTTAAAGAATAATAATAATCATAGTCTTACCGTGGTCAGTGTCTTCATGGTGAAGCTGGCCCAGTACAGCCTCCAGTTTTCTATGACCAGAGTGAGGGTTTTTAGTTTGGTCTTTATCGATGTGGTCTTTGTCAACATCATGGTGATCATCATGGTGATCGTCATTGCCATCATCATGGTGATCGCTGTGGTGGTCCTTGTGATATTCGTAATGGTGGTCTCTATAATGATGGTCATTTCGGTGGTCATTGTGGTGATCATAATGATGATTCCCATGGTGACTGTAGTGATGATTGCTATAGCGGTTGCCATGGTGACTGTTATGGTGATCATAGTGGTGGTTGTCATGGTGATCGTCATGGTGATCATAGTGGTGGTTGTCATGGTGATCGTCATGGTGACCGTAGTGGTGGTTGTCATGGCGATTGTCATGGTGATCATCATGGTGGTCGTCATGGTGGTCATCATGGTGGCGGCTATGGGAGTTGTGATGTCGGCCATAATTGTCATGGTGAGTGTCATGGCGTCCATGATGGCTGCCATAGTGACTGTATCGGTGATTTCCATGGTGGTCGTCATGGTGGTTGTCATGGTGACCATTGTAATGGTCATCATGGTGACCATTATGATGGTCATCATCGTGACCGCTGTGATGATCGTCTTGACCGCTGTGATGGTCGTTGTAACCGCTGTGATGGTTGTCATGGCGACCTCTGTGACTGGTGTAGTGGCCAAGGCCACGGTGCGTGTCATGGCGGTCGTTGTGATGAGTGTCATGGTGATTGCTGTAATGATGATCGTCATGGTGACCGTTATGATGGCTATCATAGTGATGGTCATCATGGTGACTGTTATGATTGTCGTGGTAACCAGTTTGATGGTTGTCATGGTGACTGTCGTGATGGTCGTCATGGTGATCATGGTAGTACTCGTGCAGCTGTTCCTCTAGAGCGTGGATCTTCCTCTGCAGCAGGTCCCTCAGAGAACTGGAGTACGAGCTGCTCGAGTTACGAGCCTGAGACAGATACACAGAGACAAAAATCAACGTGATATGACCATATAATAGTAATACTATAGAATTCTATGGAAATACTGCAGTACTCAGAGAGCTAACACAAAGAAGACATCATTGTGACTGTACTGCAGTACAGACATATTACATTACAACTACTGCCTCTACAGTATTTACAACTGTGGGTAAGACTGAGTTTAAGTGTTCACTGCTCATCTTCATACTTTGAACAAGGGACATGATAATCAGAGGTGCACTGTGTAAAATAAAACGTTTTTCTCCTCTGTGTTGATGCCTCGTCAGAATAAATCCGAATGTGTTCAGTATCAGTCTAGAACATGGTTACATGTATAGACAGGGCAGGTGAGCCTAATGGAAGCTGATTGTCCAATGCTGTGGTGCCTCCTGTTAGAGCATTACAGCTACAGCCTTTGTTTTGACTCTTCAGAACAGATCCATTTCACTGTCTCAGTGCTGTGTGCACTCACTTTAGAGACAGAATATATGGAGATAAATGAGCCCCTAATGTACAACTATGGATATGGTTGGATATTTCTAGAAGTTCATTGTGTTTATTATTTTAGTTGTAGTTCCTTTGTTTTGTTGTGGTGCAAAGCTCTATTTGTGTCTAGAACAAAGAGCAGAGGGGTGGACCTGTGCATTTGGATAAGAAAGATATGGTACCCCAAACCATCTTGAAGCATTTCACTGAAAGTCCCTTCTCTTCTCAAATCATTTCAGTGGCAGTTGTCCGAGACCTGGTGGCGACTGTTGCTAATGACAAACTTCTTCTTTGTTGCTGTGATTCTTTCAAAACTGTGACCTTTTCTGACGTGAGGATTGACCTCAATTAAGTCCAGCCCCGTACAGATAGAGCAGAGGCTCAGCCCTGAGGCTCAGCCCCGAGGCTCAGCCCTGAGCCTCTGTCTGAACTGAGGCTTGGGTATAAACTGCCTTACCAGGCTCTGTGTTTACTCGTTCATCTGCAGTTGCGTCTAACTTAAGTTGCATTTTACTTCTGCTTTGTTTTAACATGTGTTTGTAGACAGAATCTCCAGAATCTCTGTTTCTCTGAAATGTGTTCTGACTGAAGTATAACATGACATTCTAAATAAACAAGAACTACTAAAGTTTAAGCTTAAAGGTGCAATGTGTAACTTTTCTGAAATGTTTCACAATATGGTATTAAACCCCTCTATCTTCATAGAGACCAAACCAGAAAGTTACAGGTCAGATCTGTGGAGAAGCAACCCTGCTCACAGTCAGAATGAGTTTTTTTTTCTATTTATTTTTGAGCTATAAAATCACCTGTATTTGAATAAATGTAAGGCAGAGCTGTTTAATGTCATACCATGGAACATTCCAGGAAAAGTAAAGACATGCATAGAAACAAGCAGGTGACAAACACCAAACCAAAAAGTTACATAGTGCACTTTTAATATCAATGATTATAACATACATAAAGTGAATGTGCATGCGTCCTGTATAATTAGCCTGTTAGCACAGTATGTGTGTGTGTGTGCGTGTGTGGCGTATGTGTGTGTGGTGTATGAGTAGTGTCAGATCTGTAGTGCGTTGGGCCGGTTCGCTCTGTTAGCGTGGTACCTGCAGACTCTCAAGCCGCTCCTTCAGCGTCTGCAGAGTTTTGCTTGTTTGTTCTGGGGAAAAGTTACTGAACTTTGAGCTGGTCCGATGGTTGCCATGGTAATAGTGATGGTCACCACTATGGTAACCTGAGGGACTGTGATGGCTGTCATGATCGTTGTCATGGTGACTATCATGATGGTTGTCGTGATGGTCATCATGGTGACTTCCATGATGGTTGTCATGGTGACTACTGTGATGGTCATCATGGTGATTGTCATGGTGGTTGGTATGGTGACTGTAATGGTAATTATCATGGTAACCCCCTTCACAGCGTGTTAGTTTAGCCGTTAGCTCCCGAATGGTTTCTCTTTGGTCCAGAATGGTCTCTTTCTGACGCACCAGACTCTCGCGCAAATGCAGAATGGTGGATTTGGCCTCCTCCGACATGAAGCCGCTCCAACCACTACTGGAGCGACTCCCCGAGCTACCACCAGGGGGCACAGCGGGAGGAGAGTAGCAGCTCGGGTCAGCCTCTGGAGAGATTGGGGTGCACACAAACTTAGGGCTGATGCCATAGTCCATGGAAACCCCCGCGGCACTGGACAGGAAGTAGAAGAAGATCAGAGATTTTAGAGGACAGATGGGGAGAATGAGAGAGGAAGCTCCCAGGTTTTGATGCCTCAGTAACAGAGGCATGAGGCTCAGAGGACCCAGGTCTTTGGCCATAACTGTTCATCGGAAACTCTCCCCCACAAACAGAAGCCAAACTCAGACTGAGATCCAGCATGAATGGGACTCATTGGCTTTGAGATGGTCATGGATCAGGCAGAGCATGTCAGAGATAACACCATTATAAGTGATACGACCCGGGCAGTCCTCCTTTCACAGTCTGGTTGGCAGCACTGCAGATATGTGAGTTCTTCACAGGTTTGTGTTTGGGACAAAGCCCCCCTGCCAGCTTCTGGCTCTGCTCCTCCTCTCAGCAACAGCCAAGTGTAATCTCTTTAACTCAGGCTCCTAATCACTGCTGTGAGGTCCACCTGAAACAAAGACACAGGGAAATCAGACACTCATTACTTGTGGTGAACAGCTCCTGTCCAGTTATTTATTATATTTCGACCTACATTAATCTGCACTGCCCCTATTTTGTAAACAAATTTTCAGGTGGTCTGCATGGATAGTTCAAGACTTAAATAATTTTATACATGTGCACTCTCTGGACTGATCCCATTGGCACTAGATTTAGTTTTTGTTGACTTTGCTTTTTGATTGGCCTTGTTCACATACACTGCAAACGATTCTCCCAAACACACACCAAGAGCCATGTTAGAGGCATCAACTGATCACTGAACCTATTTCTATGACAACTCACTTCAAGCAGACAGAGCCCCATGAATAACACTCTCACAGGTACTGTACGTGCGGTTCTTTAATTTGAGGTTAAATACACTGTGAAGGCTAATTGAGCTGGTGGCAGCAGAAAAAAACTTAATGAGCAACACGCAGACAGACCCAGACCCACCTGCACAGACAGACCAGACCCAGACTCACCTGCACAGACAGACCAGACCCAGACTCACCTGCACAGACAGACCAGACCCAGACTCACCTGCACAGACAGACCAGACCCAGACTCACCTGCACAGACAGACCAGACCCAGACTCACCTGCACAGACAGACCAGACCCAGACTCACCTGCACAGACAGACCAGACCCAGATTCACCTGCACAGACAGACCAGACCCAGACTCACCTGCAGACACAGACCCAGATTAACCTGCGCAGACAGACTAGACCCAGGCTCACCTTAACAGACAGACCTAAACTCACCAGAGAGACAGAGGCAGGAGTAGATGTCAAACAACAGCTCTGCACTGCCCTTTCATATAAACAGGCCTATGTGCTTTCTACTGTATGTTAATGTCACTGTGGACTGTGTAGGTTGGCCTGAGGTCAGCCGTGTTCACACCCATTCTCCCTGTTCTCTGAGACCTCCTGTTTAAAGCACTCTCAGAGCTTTTAATGTGAATCAGAATGTGACTGTCATGTTCACACCAACTCAAGCACTGCTCTCGGAGCAAATGCTCTTTTACATCAACCGAACTAGTGACAACCTAAAGCAAAGAATCTGACTTTTAAGGTTCAGATCTGAGGAGACAATGGCTTGAATCTTAGAATCATGGCAGTTCAAATGCACTGCTCTTCCTAGTTACTGCTGTTGTGTCTTTGGGCAACACACTTTCCCTACTGTAACACCGCTCTATCATTGCCTCAGATGGATAGTGTTTGTCCTCGTGCAGCGGTTGATTCCCTTTAATCTGAGTCTGGACTTAAAGACAACACTGAGACTTCATGACACCTCCAGGACACGTGTCGCTCTCTCTCTTCTCACTTTCAGACACTCACACTCAGGCACAGAGGGGAGGGGTCGCTGTGAGGGAGGAGGTTGGCAGCTCATCCCTGACCAAGACAAGGCAAGACATCTCATCAAATTGACTCTCAGTGGATACATTGTCACTTCTCTGTACACTAATCCAGAACAGTTGGGGCTACACAATCAGCTAAACACTACTGAGTGTGGAAAGTCAATAAATAATAGTCCAGCACAGGGATTTGAGGAACTTCAAGCATGTTATGTGCTCCTCTCTCTTCCTCTCATCCTATTGCTCCACTCCACCTCTCTTCTCTCCTCCTCCTCAGAGCTCTCACCTCTGCTCCTCTTCTTTTCTCCCTATTCCCTTCTCCTCCTCATTCTTCTCTCCTTCTCTGTGGTCCTCTTAATGGGATCGGGGGCCTTAGTGCTCTTAGCCTAGGCTCTGACCCACTAGGTCACTGTAGCCACACGTGTTCAAGCGTGTGCTTCGTTAACGGTAATTGTAAAAGTTCTAATGCAATTGACTTCTGAACTGAGGGATCAGGGTTACCTCTGTTACTGCAATACTCATTATAACCAATACTCCAGCAGCAGCTAATGATTATTTGGGTAATTTATTAATGGAATAATTATTCTTTTGATTAACTGATGAGTTGTTTAGTAAAAGCGTGTGACTGTGGAAATTTGATAAAATTTGACCCACCTAAAGATAATCAAAGCCTCTTTTTACTTAAAGGTCACTAGTTTCTTATGTTTTGCATGTTTTTATGGTATTTTTAACAGTAAAAATGAATAATGTAATTGAATAACTGGATGACAGATACGTTTAATGCCATGTGGAACATTCCAGCAAACAGCTCATGGAAACAGGCAATAGGTGGATCCCCACATCAGAGGATAACCTCCAGCTGAACCTGACTCAGCAGCTCAGCTCTGACAGACCTTTGGCTTTGCTAAGCATTGTGGGAATATTTTGGTCGTGAGAGAACACAATGATAAAGATCCATCACACATATTTGTTACAAAAGAACAGCTAAGACCTGGTTCACTCTTGATTAGATAAAATGTGGGTCATGTATTAAAAAAAAATCCACAGTTATGTTTTTCACTGTACATACTGAAAATATTCAATATTCAGTGTATGTATCTTGTTTCGGTCACTCTGCCCCAGGGCGGCTGTGGCTGTAGATGCTGACTTCCTCATTCTTCAGGGTTTCTGTGTTTAAGATGACATCACAACATTCAATAGGCCAATAATATTGAATTACAGATGGAGGGCAGCTGAAAATGATTAAAACAACCAATCTGAAAAGCATCTGTATGGTGTGTGTGTGTTTAAGGGTCTGAGGTCGAGTTTAAAGTCATGTGATGTTTGTTTACAGGTCAGACTCTGAGGCCAGTCCCACCTGAGCTGCACGTGGCTCCATCATCAACAAAACAAGAGAACAGGAGGGCACAGGTGGACAAAGGGCAATTTAAAAATACACAATGTCACTTTTCTGTCTCAATGGGGACGTTATTGCTTTGCATGGTGTGCGTGATGTTTCACCCATGGCAAAAATGTCTAATGTCTGGAAGCATGTTTTTTTTTTTAATTATTCTTTTTACTATGCATAAAATAACTGAATGTAGAACAACTCAGGTATTCCACCAGATAAGACACAAAGTATACCTTTAATCGACTGATAAGAACTGGCAAAGCTTTTTGGTCTAGAGGCAGTGGGGGTGTAGTGTGAGCCTCATTAAAGAAAAGAACTTCTAATGTGGTATACTGTAATACCTCTAGTCAATAAGGACTTTTACAGTATTCCATTTTGTCTAAATGTATTCATTTAGAAAAAATGCTGTCAGAAAAAGGTGTCCTTTGTTCGCAAATTGTCCCTGCCTTTTTGGATCGAATTTTCCATGTTGATGACACAGGAAGAGATTTCTCCACAAACTGCGAGTTAAATATAAAATTATGTAAATCTATGATCAGTATTGAATCTGCAGTCACTTATGGTACCTTTGGGTTTTGGTGGACTTTTAAAATACATGAAATTATAGAAACAAAAACATCTGATTATCGATGCACTATGTAATTTTTCTGGTGAGGTTTCCGCCACCTGAGTGTCCCTAGAATGTTCCACAGTATAGCATTACGGTTATCTATTTTTTATGACACAAAAATACATTGAAGAAGGGTCCCCTCTCCACAGATCTGAACTGTGGCGTCATTCTCTTTGCTACATGTCAATAGAAACATTTACTGCAGAACATTCCAAGCTAAGAAGCTCTCCATGGAAACAAGAAAGTAGCGTACGTTCCACAAGAAAAGTTACATAAAAAGTCAAGTTATCTAACTTTTGGCTTTCTGAGTACCACCACATCTAAATCACGTATGACAGGACTATTCCAGGTCTGATCTAGGGTTAAACCAGGTCTCAAAGAGGACAACATTATTTTTACTGTAGTTCCAAACAAGAAACAAGTCCAAAAAAGTGCATAAAATGAACAGCCACAAACAGAAGACAAACACAGATTCACCTGAAAGAGCTCATGTACCAAAATTTGAGAAACACTAATCAAAGCTTTACAAGTAGCTCAAACAGAGAACTCCATTACCAACTATCAATGTAAACTAAACACTACCAAAACTCACCATCATGTCGGCCTTGAAACATTCTAATATTCCATTTGCAGTGAATCGGGTTTGTACAGAGCAGTGTGCTGGAGCGTGGTCCTGCTCGCTCCTGCTCGGCTCTGCTCCTCACTGATCTGCTCAGAGGATTGAGCTTTGGAGGATAATTTTAACCAGCATTAGCCACAGACACACTCTTGCGTACGGCCTCTACTCTACACACGACACACTCCTCTGTACGGCCTGAACACACTACACACTCCTCTGTACGGCCTCCACTCTAAACATAAACATAAACATCTAACTGTTTCCCATCTAAGACTGGCCTTGGCTCTTATATTTACTGTTTCTTTGTGACTGCTGAAATTCCTAGCTCTCTGGCATTTTTGTTTTGTAAAGGTAGCTCACTGGAGAAAAAAGGTTAGAGACCCCTGTTCTAGAGTCGAGTCATTAAATAATATTTGATACTGCTCCCAGATTAGGTGACACATTGGTTAAGTATATAGCACTCTTGCGTCACAGCAAAAAGGTTCTGGGTTTGACTCCTAGGCCTTTCTGAGTGTAGTTTACAGGTACAGTATCTTTGTCTGCCTGAGTTACCCTCATCAAACCAAAACAAGCACAATAAGTCAAGTTCTTGAGGTAGTCCTGACTGACAAGAGAAGCTCCAACATCTGCAGATGGGTTCACTGCTCCTCACCAGCAGTATAGAACGATGGGTCAAATGCAGA